TATGAGAATAATTGGTTTTAGATTTGGTTACTTATTTATTTGGTATTTGGGTTTTATTTTTAATTTGGATTTATATTATGTTATACATTTTTTAGTTATTTTTTTTTTTAGTTATTTTTAATTTGTTTCTGAATCTTACGATTCGATACGATTCACGATACTAAAAAACAGCCGAACGATTCACGATACGAATTGCGATTCAACAACCTTGCCTCACATTTAATTTGAGATCATCAAGTACAATTTTTAGCCACAGTAACTCACAAATGCCTTGAGCCATAGCTCGAAATTCAGCCTCTGCACTTGATCTGGCAACCACATCTTGTTTCTTACTTCTCCACGTCACCAAGTTACCACAAAGAAACATACAATAACCAGTGGTAGAACGACAGTCAGTCACAGATCCAGCATAATCAGCATCAGTGTAGACTTCTAAAGAAAGATCTCCATCACGTCGGAATAACAGTCCTTTACCAGGAGTAGCTTTAAGATACTGAAGAATTTTCTCCACTGCCTGCATGTGTTTCTCCTTTGGATCATGCATAAACTGACTGACAACACTAACAACATAAGCCAAGTCTGGTCTAGTATGAGCCAGATATATCAATTTCCCAACTAGCCGTTGATATTGTCCTTTATCAACTGGAGGACTCTCCTCTTCATAGCCTATCTTGTTATTCTGCTCAATAGGAATATTAGAGGGTTTACACCCGAGCTTTCCTGCTTCTTTGAGAAGATCAATAACATATTTCCTCTGGTTGATAAAAATTCTTTTTTTTGAATGAGCTACTTCTATCCCTAGGAAATATCTCAGCTTCCCAAGGTCTTTAATTTCAAACTCAGATGCTAGTCTTGTTTGCATAATATGTCTCTCCATAAAATCATCACTTGTGATAATAATATCTTCAACATATACAAGGAGCACAGTGAGCTTCCCATCTTGGGAGTGCTTAAAGAAAAAAGTGTGATCTCCTTGGCTTTGTTTGTATCCTAAGGTCATCATAACCTCAGTAAATCTTCCAAACCAGGCATGAGGTGACTGCTTCAATCCATACAAGGCATTTTTTAATCTAAAAACTTTATTTTCTCCATTCACAGAATCAAAACCAGGAGGGATTTCCATGTAGACTTCTTCTTCTAACTCACCATTAAGGAAAGCATTCTTCACATCAAATTGATTTATATCTCAATTGTAATGAGCAGCAAGGGATAACAAGACTCTCACCGTATTCATCTTTGCAACTAGAGCAAAGGTTTCTTCATAATCAATGCCATAGGTCTGAGTGTAACCTTTGGTGACTAATCGAGCTTTATATCTCTCAAGAGTGTCATCAAAATTATACTTCAGGGCATACATCCATCTGCACCTTACTGCTTTCTTTCCATTGGGTCTCTCAATAACCTTCCATGTTTTATTTTTCTCCAATGCATTCATCTCCTCTTGCATGGCTTGAGCCCAATTCCCATCTTTCAATGCTTCATATACTGATTTTGGGATTGAAATAGAATCTAGTGCTGAAACAAAGCTTTTGTGCTGCACAGAAAGATTAGTAGAAAAAACAAAATGGGAGATAGGATATTGAGTATAAGAGGAACAAGAGGAACAAAATTTCTTGGTACAAGATCTTTTCCCTTTTCTTAGGGCAATAGGTAAGTCATCAGAAGTAGAAGCAATGAGTAAGTCATTAAAGATATCAGAAGAAATAGACAAATCATGAGAGGCAATAATATTAGAATCAGAAACAGGAGATTCAGAAGAAACAGGAGATTCAGGACTTACCAGTGGTTCAGACGATTGAGGTTGCTGGTGAGACAGTATGGGTTGTTTCCTCCTCTGATATACCAATTCAGGTGTCAAAATCTTTCATATCTCAGGTGTATTTGAAGGTTCTGACACACTAGGAGCAGACACACTAGGAAGAGGTGTAGGAGTAGACAAGACTGATGTATTTGAAGGTTCTGACACACCAGGAGCAGACACACTAGGAAGAGGTGTAGGAGTAGACAAGACTGATCCAGACTCAAAGAAGGAAGGAAATGAGTCTTCTGAAGAACTGTTCTCTCCCTGAAGATGAAGACTCGGGAAATAAGATTCAGATTCTTGAAAGGTGACATCCATATACACAAATTTTTTTCGACTTGGTGGATGTAAAGAACCTTGGGATACACCACCCCAAAAGCTAGTTCAAAGGGTGGGAGTGCTCAAGGCCTTATAAAGGCCACATTAGTTGCCCACACAATCAATGTGGGACTATATATCTCAACACGCCCCTTCACACGAGAGCCCATTGGGCTTGAAGAGTGGACAATGCAACAGGTCCAGCTTACCTGTGCTAAGAAACGCCACAAGAGAAAATGGGGGGCGGCGAGGCTCTGATACCATGTAAAGAACCTTGGGATACACCACCCCAAAAGCTAGCTCAAAGGGTGGGAGTGCCCAAGGCCTTATAAACTCCACATTAGTTGCACATACAACCAATGTGGGACTACATATCTCAACACGCCCCCTCACGCAAGAGCCCATTGGGTTTGAAGAATGGACAATGCAACAGACCCAGCCTACCTGTGCTAAGAAACGCCTCAAGAGAAAGTGGGGGGCGGCGAGACTCTGATACCATGTAAAGAACCTTGGGATACACCACCCCAAAAGTTAGCTCAAAGGGTGGGAGTGCCCAAGGCCTTATACAGGCCACATTAGTTGCCCACACAATCAATGTGAGACTATATATCTCAACAGTGGATGATAACACTTGTATCCTTTTTTATAAGGGGTATAACCAAGGAAGACACACTTAAGAGCCCTAGGATCCAACTTACTCCGATGTTGTTTATGAACATGGACAAAGGCAACACATCCAAACACTCTTGGTGCAAGGCTCTGCAATATGGGAATAGAAGGAAAAAAGGAAGTCATGGAATGAATAGGACTGGTATTGTTAAGGACCCGTGAAGGTAAACGGTTGATAAAAAAGGTTGCAGCTAACACGACTTCTCCCCAATAAGAACTAGGAACAAATGTCTGGAAAAGTAGTGCTCTAGCAACTTCAAGGAGGTGACGATTTTTTCTTCCAGCAGCCCCGTTTTGTTGAGGGGTATCAACACATGCGAGCTCATGAATCATACCTCTGTCTGAAATGAATTGTGACAGGCGTTGGTTGACGTACTCAGTACCATTATCAGATCTTAGTTTTTTAATACACTTACCAAACTGAGTCTCAACCATATGATGAAATCGAATAAATATCTCTGGTACTTTAGACTTGTTTTTCATCAAGAATATCCATGTTACCCGAGTACAATCGTCAATAAAAGAAATAAACCACCTTGCACCTGAAACACTATGCACTTTAGAAGGGCCTCAAACATCAGAATGGATAAGAGAAAAAGGTTTGCTGCTTTTAATAGTGCTAGCAGGAAATGACACTCAATGGTGTTTTGCAAATTCACAAACATCACAATGAAAGGTCTCAACCGACTGATTAAGAAACAGAGAAGGAAACATAGACTTCAATAGACTGAATGGTGGATGCCCCAGACGCTTGTGATGGAGCCAAATCATAGACTCTGCAGTAGAAGGATGACGTGTCATTAATAACTGATTTTTGCTATCATTTATAGCATGTTCTGGAAGGAGATGATACAACCCATCCTGCTCATTAGCAACTCCAATTGTCTTCTTCGTGGTAAGATCTTGAATAACACAATGGGAAGTAAAAAATGTGATAGAACAATTCAAATCAGTTGTAAGTTTTTGAGTGGAGATAAGATTAGTAGAAAGCTGAGGAATATAAAGAATATTTTTAAGAAACAAGGAAGGTTGAATTTGAATGTTACCAGAACCAATAACTGATTTATGGGATCCATCAGCTACGGATATAGTATGACTACCAACAGTAGGATGATAAGAACGAAAAAACTCAGTACGACAAGCCATATGATCAGTTGCACCAGAATCCAAAATCCATGAGGTTTTAAAATCAGTGCAAGAAGCAAGAAGAGATGTAGAACGTGTGCTCTTACCAGACAAGATCAAAGAACGGTCAGATGGCTTTCACATATTATCAATAGCGGGTTTAAGCTGATCCAACTCCCTTTCCTGAATATTCACATATGGAGAACTATCTTCTAAATTGGCCATAGTGATAAGAAAGAGTGAAAAACAGCACCCAAGAACACACAACGGACACCCAAACGACGTCAGTTCAGAGAGAAAAACACAGATCCGGGTAGAGGAGGCAAAAACAAATTTTTTTTTTGAATAGTACTCGGTGAACAGTGCCGCGTGAACAGTGCGCGATGAACAGTACCACATTTTTTTTTTTTTTGAGCTGTTCCGGTCGTCTGATGAAAAAGAAACCTCCGTAGAATGATAGATCTAAGAAAAACGGAGTGAAACAGGGGTTCTCACGGTCCAAAAGGTCCCCGGAAATTTTTTTCCGGCGGCAGCGAGAGGCAAATAGGGTTTGGTTTTTAAAGACGGTGATTTGCGGAAGCAGAACCCTCAGAATCGAGAGCTTTGATACCAACTTGAAAAAGGGTATTATGATATATTATAGAATTGTAAATAATCTGTACAAAGGGTTCTCTATTTATAGAGAATAAAAGACCTAATGGGCTTGGCTCAATACAACAAATAAATTAATAAATAAGAAAATAACTATTATTTACAACATATTGTTTTGCCTATTTAAGGCTTGGAGAACCTTATTGTTATTTGGTTGTTTTTGGTTTATAAAATTCAGAAAAAAAAAGAAATAGTATTTTCTCGCACTTCTTGTGTTCGTTCTTCTTTCTGTTTAGCCAATTAGTTATTGCTTCGGCATTAGCATCTGCTTATACTTATTGTCAAGTGGTTTCTAAATTTGACATTATCTTTGAGATTAATGTTTTCTTCATTTTCTCCTGTTGATTGGATACAAAGTTAATTGGTAGTTCTTAAAATTTTTATTGTTGAAAATAAATTTTTACTCGAAATGCATCGTAATTCTTTTAATCTTTAGGTGAGCAATGTTAGTGAAGAGACAGGGAGTTTTGTGCCATATGTACCGAGAAAAAATGCTGCTCTTTACAAAATTCAACTTGAGGAAGATGTAAGCTTTCTTTGTGCATGCTTAGTGCTGGCTTAAAAATGAAGATATAGGAAATAGATTAATTTTGAGTAGACCTTACTAGAGAATTGCTTTCTTGCTGTTTTTGTTCCCTAATAATGGACTGTTTGAATTCTATACAGGTGCAACAATTGCAAAATCAGCTTCTAGAAGAGATTGAACTGCATACATTTCTCAAAAATGTAATTGAGAGAAATGCCATCAATTTATCTGGTGTAACATATCTACCCAATCATGTATGTCCCCTTTTAGTTTTTACCACAAAAATGTTATGTCATGTGATTGCTAGGATTATGTGAATAGCATTCATAAAATTACATCTCCAGACAGAATTCATGATGCAACAAATTTTGGGTTGAAGTGACTTCTGCTCTATTTTCTTTTTCTCTTCTAAATGGATGCGTGTTGCTGGTACTTTATGAAGTTCTGAAAACTTTCTCTTGCCTTTAAGGAATTCCAAACGAGAGAGAGAGGGAGGTGCTGAAATCCGTTTGTCAAAGCTACATATATAACCAAAAAATAATAATAGAATACGTACACCATTTCTATCCTAATTACTGTAATTACATGATTCTGGCTTGTGTATACAATGAACTTAGACAGTATTCACATGGTTTCCAACAGATTTTAATGAGACCAATTATTTAACCTCTTTTGTGTAAGTAGTTTATCACTTATATGTGCTTGTGCCTTATTCTTAACTGAATAGAAGACATAGCCAATGGTGTGAGATAATGCTCTAATGTGTCTTAAAAATTAAAATTTGGTGGCCTGAACTTTAGGAGAAAGTCTGCAGATTGATACAGGTTTGAAAATGGAAAGTCAATCATCTAAATGAGAGCGCCTGAATTTGAGAACCTGGTTGACTAAGTTCTAGCTAGCATTGAAATTGTTTAATTAAGAAATTTCTCAAGATTAGTAGCAGGAATTTTTTAAATTGGGGTTGTAGGACAAAGAATGAGACAGGGTTCCAAGGAAAGTATTTTTTCAGTGTGAAAATATGCTATGCAAAATGGCTTCATACCATTGTGCATGCGGTAGTCAATTATCAAACTGAAAATCTTAGATTCAGTATAAGGGAATATGTCATAGACTAGTAATTAGACTTGTCACTGTCAGAAACGACTGGTTTTTGTATTATTATTTTCTGATCTGCACGAGTGATTAGCACTCAGCAAAATTATATACTTCAAGGAATAAATACAACTTGTATTTACAAGAAGAGTCTGAACTATTTCCTAGGACCCTTTGTTTCCAGTGCTACATGAAATCCTAGTATTTCCAATGCTTTATTAATTTTAGTTTGTAATTCCCAACAGTGGAGTAATTTACAACACTGTCCAACATTTCCTAATATAAGTGATAGAATCACGACTTTCTCACCCTCTCCCTCAAGCTGGTGAATATACATTTTCCATTCCAGCTTGCATACAATATTTTGAAATGCTAGGTTGCTTTAATCCCTTGGTAATTATATCAATCGGCTGTCCTTGTATAGTCACATAGGGTGTGCAAATTAATCCACTGCCTATCAACCTCAATGTGCTTTGTGTGATCATATTGTATTGGATTGTGGGCTATATTGATTGTAGACTTATTATCACAATAGAGTCGCACTGGTCCCTCCCACGCAATCTTCAAGTCTTCAAGGATAATATTTAGCCAAAGTGGTTCATGCACACCTTGAGCCATTGCTCTACATTCTACCTCCACATTGAATTGTGCCACCACATTCTATTTTTTTTTGCATCTCCAATTCACCAGGTTTTCTCTAAGGAAAGTACAATACCTAATAGTTGATCTTCTTTGTCTGATCAATATTTGCCTCAAGCACCACGCCTGCTTTTCTTTTTGTTAGAAAATATGAAATATGTCTCATAATATCTTTGAGTCTTAAAATAGTTTAGAGTATCCTAGATGGTTTCCATATTTCTTTATATTTACTTAAGAGTATGAATGTATTGTATTCAATTGTATGTAAAACTCTATAAGAGCTCTCTATTTAAAGAGGTTAAATGACTTAATGGGTTAAGTCCAAATAATCTAAAAATAAAATAAAATAATAATAATACAATACAATATTATTTCTAACACTCTCCCTCAAGCTGGTGCGTATGTATCATAAGCTCCCATCTTGTTACATATATGATCTATTCGGGGACCTCTAAGAGCCTTGGTGAAAACATCTGCAAGTTGATCACTGGAATTGACAAATGTTGTTTCGATCTCTCCTGACTGAATCTTCTCTCTAATAAAGTGACAGTCAATTTCTATATGTTTGGTCCTCTCATGAAAGACTGGGTTAGAGGATATGTACAATGAGGCTTGATTGGCACAAATGAGTTTCATGGGCCGTTGTTCAAAGAGATGTAGTTCTTTAAGCAATTGTCTAAGCCAGATGAGCTCACAGGTTGCATTTTCCATTGCCCGATATTTTGCATCTGCACTTGACCTGGCAACTACAGTTTGCTTCTTACTCTTCCAAGAGATCAAATTTCCTCTGAGGAGAACACAATACCCTGAGGTGGAGTGTCTGTCTAAAGGAGAACTTGCCCAGTCAACATCTGAATAGCTAGACACCTCTGCATTCCTTTTATCTGTGTATAATAAACCTCTTCTTGGTACTCTTTTGATATATCGAAGAACCCTGATGACTGTATCACAATAAGAGTCACAAGGAGAGTTAAGGAATTGACTTGCCACACTAACTGTAAAAGAGATGTCCGGCTTTGTTATAGTAAGATAGTTCAACTTTCCAACTAATCGACGGTAACGATCAGGGTCTGCCAATGGCTTCCCCTGTCCGGGTAATAGCTTAACATTAGTATATATAGGTGTATCAATGGGTTTACATCCCAACATACCAGTCTCATCTAGGATATCCAGTGCATACTTCCTGTGACAAATGGAAATGCCCTGCCTAGACTGTGCCACTTCGATCCCTAAGAAATATCGAAGTCTGCCAAGATCTTTGGTCTGAAATTGATTGAATAAGTACTTGTTTAATTGATCAATCCCAGCTTGATCGCTGTTAGTAATAATGATGTCATCAACATAGACCAGGAGATAGATGCACTGGCCAGAAGAGCTATGCTGATAAAAGACACAATGATTGGTGTAAAGAACCAATTCAACCCAAAAGCTTATGCTGTTGGGTGAGGCTATTTTAATGGTTTTATACATCTCAACACGCCCCCTCACACGAAAGCCCACTGGACTTGAAGGGTGGACAATGCACAGGCCCAACGAAGAAAGAAATTCCACTAAAAAGAAAGTGGGGACCAGTGAGGATCTAACCCGGTACACTGAGGCTTTGATACCATATAAAGAACCAATTCAACCCAAAAACTTAAGTTGTTGGGTGAGGCTATTTTAATGGTTTTATACATCTCAGCAATTGGCTTTACTTCGGGTTAAACTGAAGGATCGAACAGCGGAACTAAAACAACTAAATCAAGCTCGAAGAGACTGCTTCGGGCCATATAAAGATTTACGAAGCTTATATACCATTCCAGAAATCTCTCCCTGAGCAACAAAACCTGGTGGTTTCTCCTCACCATGTAAGAAGACATTTTTGATATCAAGCTGAAGAAGGGGCCAATGATGAATGGCAGCAAGTGCAAGAAACAAGCTAATAGAGGCCATCTTGGCAAGAGGAGAAAAGGTATCCCCATAGTCAAGACAAAAAATCTGAGTGTATCTCTTGGTCACTAAACGAGCTTTGAGGCGATCAAAAGTGCCATAAGGACCAACTTTGATTGTGAATACCCTCGACAACCAACAACCGACTTCCCAGGAGGAGCACGAACAAGATCCCATGTACCATTGGAGTGAAGTGCAGTCATTTCATCAATCATCGCCTGACGCCAACCTGGATGAGATAGTGCTTCACCTGTGGTCTTAGGAATGGAAACAGACGAAAGACTAGAAACAAAAGTAAAATGCTGTGAATAAAGTGTATCATAACTCAAGAAAATGTTAAGTGGATGAGGGTTGCGAGTGGATCGAATACCTTTGCGAAGGGCAATGAGAGGAATCTCTGATGGAGGATCCGAAGGGGAAGAGTCGACAGGAGAAGGCGATGAGTTAGCAAGGGTCAAGTCCGCAGGAGGCGCAGTCTGACGACGTTGATAGGTGAGAAAATGGCAGTCCTCAGGGATGGAGGCAAAGGGTCATTCCTCTGGGATAGAGTCACCTGCAGTTGGTAATGACAAGTCAAGAAGGAACAACAAGAACCTGATCAGCCTGTGACATCTGAGACGGAAAAGAATGAAAGAGTTGTTAATCAAGAAAGTGACATCAGCGAAAACAATATAACGCTTGAGGTCAGGAGAGTAGCAGCGATACCCCTTTTGAAATCGAGTATATCCAAGGAAAATACACTTGAAGGCTTTGGATGTTAATTTGTCCTTTCTTGGAGTGAGATCATGAACAAAGCAAGTACATCCAAATACATGTGGAGGCAGAAGATAGGAAGGCGCTCTTGAAAATAATACAATATGTGGAACTTCATTATTTAGCACGGAACATGGCATGCAATTGATGAGAAAGCAAGAGGTGAGAATAACATCTGCCCAAAAACGGAGTGGAACATTCATATGAATTAGAAGGGTATATGCAGTTTCAACCAGATGACTATTTTTACGTTCAGCCACTCTATTTTGTTGTGGAGTGTGCGGACAGGTGGTCTGGTATAACGTTCCATGTTTCTCCAAAAAATTAGAAAATTCAAGAGACACATACTTTTTTGCATTATCACTATGCAAGACTTGAATAGAATCACTAAATTGAGTATTTATTTCAGCACAATTTTTGATAAATTGAAAATAATTCAGAATGTTTTTTCATTAAATAAACCCAAATACAATGAGAGAAATTATCAACAAAGATTACAAAATATTGAAAACCCAAAACAAACATAGTTTGACTCGGACCCCAAATATCTGAATGAACAATAAAGAAGGGAGCATCAACTCTTTTATTGACTCTATTAGTAAAGGAGGAGTGAATGTGCTTTCCTTGCTGACAAGACTTACAGTTTAAAATCTTAAGACTGGATAAAAAAAGAACCATATGTTGAAGCTTGGAAAGACTTGGATGACCCAAACGACTCTAGATTAGTTCAGGAAACTCTGTGAGAGAGGACACCACTGGAGAAGGAGGTGCAGTCAGATAGTACAAACCTCGTGACTCATTGTCCTCTCCAATCGTCTTCCCCGTACCCGGATTCTGCATA